GCAGCAAGAAGAACAAGATGTCCTCTTCGGCGGCCGCAGGTCAGGTTAGGGCATCGCACATACTCATAAAGCACCAAGGATCTCGACGGCCTGCTTCGTGGAAGGATCCGGAAGGCCGAATTATCAAGAACACCACTCGCGACAGCGCCGTCTCTCAGCTTACTGTCATTAGAGACGACATCATTTCCGGCAAGTCCAAGTTTGAGGACGTTGCCTCTCGCATCTCTGACTGCAGTTCTGCCAAGCGTGGCGGCGATCTAGGTCCGCATACTGATCTCATTTCTTTATTATCTCGATTTTTCTGGCCATTACGTAGAGTAATTGTTTCTTTTTGTTTTCCATTTCTTGTCGGATTTGTGTAGTTTTCAGTCCGGAATTAGATAGGATTCACTTTATCATGTATTGAACCTGGAACCCTAGACTTAACCGTGAGAAATCTTAGTGTTTGGATTGCGGTATTGCTAGTTCGAGATATTAGATTTAGGTTTCAGTTCAATGAATTTTATTAGCAGGCAGGATATCTATGTATCGCTTGGATTCAATTGGATATGTCTATTGTATTTACGTATTTGCTTCGTGTAAGGTTTGTAATTCTTCTTGTTTTGGTTTGAATTGAAATAGTACAGGATACTATCGTGTATGATTATTCCCTGCCGCTCTCGGATACCAAACATATTTGTTGAATTGTGGTCTATGATTGAGGAACTTTGTTATACCTCAATTTCTAAGTTGAATTTCACTTTATGAAACAACTATAATGATAATGCTCAAACAATTATCACAAGGTCGTGATTACTTTTGGACTTCGCGATGAAGTTGTGTGATACCGTGATGAATATAACCAGTTATGTAGACCATTTTACTTGAAAACCGATGAAAGGGTTACTTACTCAGTACTTGATTTTAGCTAAAGGGTTAAATCAACCATTCAATCGGAATATCCGTTTAGAGCCTTTCTCATATATTGGTAAAAAGCGAGAACGTCAGCACTTTGAAAGTGTCTCTATCAAGAAAATTTCTACCTGCTGGTGTGGAGACTTTTTTGCTCCAGTAAATACTTTAGATTTAATAATTCCATGAGATCTAGGAACTTAGCTTTGGAAATCAAAGAGAGAGGTGGAGATGTAGCAATAGTTTTACTTGTCAGTAATATTTCACTATACTCTGGTATAATTAGACCCACACATCAAAAGAATTAAAACAACAAAATTTGAACAACCCTTTCTGGTAAAATTGGTTCTATCTAGGAATGCAGTTCTCTTTTCCCCCACTGAAATGTATACTTCGTTAGTGCTGATGGAGCCATAATTTTTCATGGGGAGAGGCAAACTCTTAGCTTCGCACTTTTTATATATATATGAAATAAATTTCCAATTCTAACATTTAGTAGAGAAAATTTGAGAGAAAAAAATTATAAATTTAAACTTTGTATACAACTTTTTAAATCTAAAATGAACCGAGCCCTCCTCTTTCTGCTCCACCCCTGGTTGTGTCTTGCTAGAAATTTGTAGTTGTGTACTCTCCTTCTAAGCCCGATTGGTAAAATCCCAGAGAGTAATTGTGTTCAGTAGTTCAATAGCAGGTACATCCGGACATTTTCTAGGATCACAAGGATATGTTATGATGTTTTGTTCGTAAGCAAGCTGATATTTTATTCTAGCAATTGTATTTGTGTGGATTAGCGCCATGCAGAATGCGTCTAAATGAGCAACACACTGACGTTATTGCAGGTCCTTTTGGGCGTGGCCAGATGCAGAAGCCTTTTGAAGAAGCAACATTTGCCCTCAAGGTTGGAGAGGTAAGCGACATTGTGGACACTGACAGTGGAGTTCACATCATCAAGCGGACTGCTTAAATTCTCTCATAAATCCTCTTATTGAAGCATTTAATCTATTTGGCTGAAGTTATTCGAGAAGGATTTGGTTCTACTCCAGGCGACATGCATTTGTTGCTATGCTCTTGATAGTACAGGACAATTCATGTTGTGATTTGGCTATAGCTACTCTGTTTCAGTGACCTAAGAATTTTCTTGAAGTTCGATGCTTTTATGCCATTGAATTTTTGGCTCTGTAAACGTGACAAATATTTGCGTTCAAGTGGTCGTGATTTGAATTGTTTGCGTCTTTTATTACGCCTCATTTGTCTGCTCAACCTCCTAGGATTATTGGGTAGGAAATGGGAATTTTTATGAAACGTTTTTCTTTTATTTATTTTATTTACTTTTTCATGGTTTATTAAGTTTTAGGTTTTAAAAAACGAAGTTTTATTTGGGGCCAAGCAGATTTTGTGACCAAATGTGAAGTTAGCTGTCTTATGGTTCTTGGGCTTTTAAAATGTACAGGAAGTTTGAAAAATAGAATAATTTGAATTTTATAATTTTTGTGTTTAGTTGCATGTCAAGAACACATGTTTTCTTTTTTGAGCTGATGTAAAACTTTGATTCCCAACTGTAATTGTGTGTTTAATTTTTAAATTTTAAAAAGTTTTATTTTTAGTTTGGTGTTTGATGATTGACTCAATGGTATAAGTTATGACTTAATTAGTGTAATATGGTAATTGATGTGTATTAGTTCTTACATCCTTTGACCGGCAACCAAAATGTACTAGCTCTTCGGTCGGTGAACTCAAATTCTCAAATTTCGAGATCGATATGAACTAGGTATATAGTTTAATTTCTCTATCTCATATTTGGAATATGTTTTTGGTTTGTCTCATCTTGATACCGAATTATGAATATTAATAATCTTGATATCGAGTGATGATTCTCGATATTAAATCAAGATTGAGATACGACCATATTCAACTTAGATATCTAATCATAACTATTGACAACCGATATGGAGATGAACCACTCTGAATCCGATAACACCGTCGAAGAAAAATTTCATTCTCAGTGCAATATGGTCAAATATTTGATTTTCCCCATTTTACCTTACATGCCCTAACATAGACGATGAGGTGGCACATTTTGATTGGCTAACCCAGCTGTGTAAAGCAAGAAACGCGTGGAACTCGCCGAGACAAGATTCAAACCCTTCTCCAACACGGCCATTAGAGGCGAGCTCCCCCTTTCCCCCCTCCTTCTCCCGCATTCCTCTTTTCTTTTTTTTCTTTTCACTCTCAGATCCGACTAATCAATCGGGTTGATTAGCAATGGCATCCATCGCCGACGGTACCAGATCCGCCTCTAATACCAATGTCGAGGCCACTGCCCCGACGGGGAAGCGCCGGACGGCCTTAATTACCGGCATTACTGGCCAGGATGGTTCCTATCTGACTGAGTTCCTTCTCGACAAGGGCTACGAAGTCCATGGATTGATCCGGCGATCTTCCAACTTTAATACTCAGAGAATCAACCACATCTATATCGATCCTCACAATGTTCACAAGGCGCGAATGAAGCTTCACTACGCTGACCTCACTGATGCCTCCTCTCTTCGCCGATGGCTCGATACTATCCTTCCCGATGAGGTCTATAACCTCGCTGCTCAATCGCACGTTGCTGTTTCTTTTGAAATTCCGGATTATACCGCTGACGTTGTCGCCACTGGTGCCCTCCGTTTGCTTGAGGCTGTTCGATCTCATATCGCCGCCACTGGCCGGAGTCACATTCGATACTATCAAGCGGGATCGTCTGAAATGTTCGGGTCCACGCCGCCGCCTCAGTTGGAGACGACTCCATTTCATCCTCGATCTCCTTACGCCGCAGCGAAATGCGCTGCGCATTGGTATACGGTGAATTACCGTGAGGCGTACGGGATCTTCGCTTGCAATGGGATACTATTCAACCACGAATCGCCGCGGAGGGGAGAGAATTTTGTGACGAGAAAGATCACACGAGCTGTTGGGCGCATCAAGATTGGGCTTCAGAGCAAGTTGTTCTTAGGGAATCTGCAGGCTTCAAGGGATTGGGGTTTTGCAGGGGATTACGTGGAAGCCATGTGGATGATGCTGCAGCAAGACCAACCCGACGATTATGTGGTTGCGACGGAGGAATCACACACGGTGGAGGAGTTCTTGGAGGTGGCATTTGGGTACGTCGGATTGAATTGGAAGGACCATGTAGTGATCGACAAGAGATACTTCCGGCCGACGGAGGTCGACAATCTGAAAGGGGATGCAAGCAAGGCAAAGAAGGTGTTGGGATGGAAACCAAAGGTCGGATTTGAGAAGCTGGTGAAGATGATGGTGGATGAAGACGTTGAAATGGCCAAGCGAGAGAAGGTTTTGGTCGATGCTGGCTACATGGATGCGCAGCAGCAACCTTGATCAGATCAGATAGAGCCGACCCCAACTACTGTATGCTGCAATTTACCCCATCGCAATGTGCTTCAAATGCCAATCCTTCTCGAATAGAGAAATATAGTTTCGTTTGACTTGCAGAATTCAAAATCTGTGTTCTTTTGTGTTATTTATGCTATTTCATGTTCTTTCACAATCAGTTATTGTTCTAAACTCAACATTTGTTTACCAAAAATATTATTAATGAACACACTTCACTAGCCATGTTTTCTTCTGGGTGCACCTCTTGAATCTTGAATTCCTAATTGTACTTTCCTTTTTAAAAAGTGATGTTTCAGACATTCTCATATATAATATAACTGAAACTCACATTAAAAAGCTTCAAAATTCAGGCCTATCAGAGGTTTTTGAAGCACCGACAATGGCATCTTCAATCAATGTGCTTCAATGAAATGGTCATGGTGTATTCAGGTTCTGGAAGATGGATCTTAACGAGTAAAGGGCAAACGCTCCGTCGGTGGAGAATCCTCGGGGGTTGAAAGGGCCGAAGGAGGAAACATCTTTTAGTGGGCGCCCACTCCTTTCAAAGGGCTACTACGGTCAACCGTCCTAGATTTTGAAACACTGATGTAAGCCTGTAGGACAGCATTTTAACAGCTGAATTTTGCTGTAAACCACAAATTCGACAAGCTGCCTATCTCTCTGTAGACGATTGTTTGTGTTTCAGTTTGAGTTTGATGTTTTTCAGACTGGATGAATGTTGAAAAATGAAGTCACTATATATACACAACATGGGATTGATATCCATCCAATGTTTCAAGAATTGGCACATTTACCATCTTTTGCTATGAAATCTTTGTTTTCTAAGATTGCAAAATGTTCCAATAAAGAATCAACCTAATTTGGGTTCTTGGGGATGTGGATTTGTATTCAAATCTACTTGCTGAGAAGATGAATTACAGGATGACCCCGAGTCGGTGGTGGCAACAACAAATGGCTTGATAGTTAACCGAAGAGACTCTGGTCCTTCTGAAGAAATTCTTTTGCATATTGCATCGCAATTACTAATAACTTCTGTCAATCTTCCCTTAAGCTCACCAATTTCCACTTTCAGTGCGTGAACTAGACATATTCAAAGACAGACAATAGTACAATTAGTACATTTAATTCGCAAAACACAAGCATTCATAAACCCATCTGTTGAGAAGAAAAAGAAAAGGAAGGAAACAGAGAAAGAGAAGAAAAACTGTGTATCAGTACCTTCGGATAGATGTTCGGAAGCTGTTTTCACTGCAGAAACCGAAAAATTTAAGCGTTGAAGAAGTTTAACAGCCAAAGCATCGGTGACTTCGATCTTGTTTTCGATATCTTCCTACAATAGTTATCACCAAATTAAGTTCCATGGACAACAAGCTTTCCTATTCTTCTACTGGAAGAACCCTACACTAAGGCTGCAAGAACATTCCAAGTGTGATAAATTCTAAAGAACAATAGGGTTTTCTGATCAGGTAAAGTACCGTAATATCAATACAAAAAGTTGTAATTGGAAATTCCAATAGTTTAAATCCTATTTGGTAACCAATTGGTTACAATGAGTTTCATGTTTTTTTTTTTCAAGAAAACATCTCCACTTTTAATCAAATTTCAAATTGTTAGATTACAAAACAAGAAAATTTAGGTGGAAGTAATATTAATAGACTTAATTTTCAAAACCCAAAAGATTTTCCATCCTTGCCTTCAATATAAAAGAATTGGTTCTCATTAACGCTCAACATAGTCCAAGTAAAAAGAAAGTACTACATCAGAGTTTAGATTTATTCTTTTTCATCTAGGAATGTGAAAATGGAGGTACTAGATGTGACTTAAAGGAAACGGTGCAAAAACGTCAGAAAGGTCCTCCTTTAGAGAAATAAATACCTGCAACCATCCCATTGACATGTAAGCCCCCCAGGGCCCCAACATTTATACCATAAAAATTGAAAACTTCGAAACTTCATACAGAAATCTTAGAATTGATTCAAAGAGACAAGTTCAGACTTCCAATACGCATCTCAAAAATATCCCGAGATCTATCATAAAAAAATTCCTGTTGTAGTCCAACCAAGTACTCCATACTGAAGCTAATATGACCATTTTACATAAACTCATCCCTTTCTCCCAGAAAAAGGGAACTCTACCGACGTCAGGCACAAAAAATCATTCCACTTAAGATCGATAACATTACAGATAATGCTAATTGAAATACATATCCAAATAGATCAAGATAACAAAAAAACAAAAAATATGATGCCAAACTTCTTTGTGGGCTTCTATCACTATGGGTTTTTATAATTGTCGGCTAGGTCATATTTTGATGGATTGGACTTTTTTTTGTAGTTTTTATCGGAACTCCTTTTGTTGGACTATTTTTTCTTTCCGTTTTCTCAATGAAAAGTTGGTTTCTCATTTCTCATTAATATATATAGATGATGCTAAGCCCTAAGAGGCTAGACTAAAAATAAAAAGATAAAAAACACTACCAACGTTGGAGAGACATGGTGGCAAACCGTCTGAAGAAATTCAGAATTGACTTGCCCCTGAATACCAGCTAAAAGTGACCTTAAGAATTTTAACCCCCGGAATCTCCTAAATAGGATGGGCATAGTCCTACAATGAGCAGGATGAGATATTGAAAGAGAAAGAAAGTACAAGAAATTAGCGACTTCAGAACCAACTTCCTTTTTTCCCTTTTGACCAAGGCAAAAGTTGAGGATACTGAAATATTTTTGAAACTTTACTACTATGATTTCTAATATTGAACCATATCATTATCATACGAAAAGTATGTTGAAGGGGACTGAATATGAATATGAAAAACTCTGTTGTCAAACTTAGCATAGCTCAACTAATTGAGGCATTGTATCCTAGACCTAAATGTCAAAAGTTCAAATCTCCACACTCTAATCTAAAAAAGAATATGGAAACCATTGCCCCTTCAAACTCTATCATGAGGGCAGCATATTCTACTTGTTAAAAGGAGCTCTAAATGAAATCTAAAGCAGAAAAAACATAAAACCACAACAGCGGCATCTTTTGTAGACAGAAATAAAAGGAACTGAATGATGTAATAACTCACAAGCATTTGCATTCACCATAAAAAATCAAAATATTTTTTAATAGAACAAACCTGATTCTTGTTGATCTTTTGGACCCGTTCATCCTGCCAATTACGGTACACTGAGAAAAGCTCCAAAAGCACTTGGGGATTCACGGTAACTACATTGCATTAAGAAAGAATAGAACAGTCACGCAGCATCCTTTGCAAAAATATTGCAATGGCATAACATGACACAGAAAAGGTTACAATATGATAAAGAGAACAAACTAAGCAATAGACTCAATAATCTCAACATCCATGCTACAATGACGAAAACCATAACACTGGAAAGAAGCCTAAATTAGCAAAGTGGTTTCTTCATTTACCTAAACTATATTTTTGTTTTTATTTACTTCAACTAAAAAATTAACAAATGATTGCAGGCTCATACTTGGATAAAATATGAACGTTTTCCCAACTTGGATTAAGGCTGCATGATCAATATTGTACAAACAGTTGAAAGTTACAGAAGTAAGTGGTACACTCTTCTTTTCCAAATTAGTTTACCAACCCCAATATAGAAAATGAACATATTTGCCAAAAGCTTCTAGTTCAAATGTTCGTCTACATCTAGAGACCTCATTACCAATCCATGCATCCCAAGGGTAGATACTGATCAGCTAATAAGCACTTACACAAATAAGACACAAACACAGTGACACATTAATTTAAAATAAAAAAAATCTAGAACATGAACATAATAAGGATATGTACATTATGATATACATTTTCAATATATATATATATATATATTCTTTTTACACATTTTAATGTTCATGCTAAAAAATGGTTTTTTCTTTTTAATGCTTATGCATTTATGAAGAAATGTTTCATGAAACAAATATTCAAGATAGATTTAAACCAACTTATCCACTTTCTAAATCTTCTCATATCTTAATGAAAAAGAGATTTGAAGTCAATAATGCTTATACACTAATATGTCTTTCGCTTCCAGAATGTTCATACGTTTATTTTGCTTAACAACTGTTCAAAATATGGATTCAATTTGTTCAACTAGTTTTTGGCATGTGTATATTGTTCTTAACAAGTGTCCAACCAAATAAGACATGGACGCGTTGGTCAACTTAAAGTGTCTATGTGTTACAAGGGTGTTTAGTTTTGACCATGTGACACTATGCTTCATAAGTGATCAGTATATTGAGGAACAGAGTACTGGCAGGTTGAACAGAGATTCTTGAGTTACTATTATAACAGCTACTGTAATCCTCAGTGGCTTCCTGAACTGGAAGTGATACTGACGCTTACAATTCAATGGTACCCGGTGTATGCTTATTATTCTTACCCGTTCAGAAACAACCAAGTTCAGAAGCATCAACTACTATTTAGCCAAAGGTAAATGTTATAGCCGGTAGTGCAGAGACTGATTATCACAATAATGTAAGCGATTATGCTTGAAATACTTAACCGTGTTTCTCCTATACCTCCCTTCTGAGCCTTTTTTTTTTATTTTTTTTTTTTTAATTTTTTTTAATGTTATACCGCTGGCTAGGGCAGCACAAAGCGTGGTTTAAAACAACAGAACCAATTTTAATCCAAGAAGGAAACTAAACAAACAATAAGTTCAATCCTAAGAATCCTACCAGCATTTGAAGAAGAGGGCGGTTTCCTTACTAAGATATCTGTCAGGCTACCTTCCGTAGGGGGTGATTGCAATATCGGTGTTGTCTACAATACGAAATAAACCAAATGAAATTCTAAATCCAGATCCAAGTTTGACAATTCACAGAAATGAGGTGTAACGAATCCCTAGCTGTCATACAAAAAGGGAAATTGAAGAACCTTCATAATTGAACTTACGATTTTAAGGGATTTGAGCCTCTCTAATATGGGGTCAACAGCTTCTGATCGCTCCGAGACGGTGGAGATTACATCAGCTGGCCGCTTCAGGCGTAACAGAACATATTAAGATGGGAAATAAGTGAGCAATGCAAAGAGATTAGCAAAAACTAAGCAATACCGCTTTCTGAGAGCTTGAGAGTGAGGATTCCGAAGCACCCATGTCGCTTTACTCTCGGAGATGGCTTCCGATCAGTGAAAGCTCCGATGCAACCAAGCGGATGGAAAAAGCCAGCGAGTCGAAGGCACATTTATTTATTTATTTATGGCTAAATTATATAAAATATGGTTAAATTTTGTATTTTATTTAAAAAATACTTTTGAACTTAAAAAAAATATATTAATGTCAAACACAAAAATATATATATTTTTTTTTTTATGAAAATGAAAATTATTAGTGACGAATTGATTTAAGTTTTTACTCTACACTTCAAAAATTTATATATAATATAATATGCAGTTTTTACCATTAATACTGTATGTTGATATGCTTTATTCTCTTTATTTTTCCTCCTCTTCGTATATATCATTGTTTCCATCTCCCTAGAGAAGAGAGGAAACCAAGATTTTTACTTCAATCTCTCAACAAGTAAAAGTAAAAGCCTTTTTTACCATTCTAAAATTCATCATGATTCTAAATTTCAAACATGAGCAACTGATAAGTATAAAGAAATCTCAGAGTATACAGTGAAGTCAAAGAGTACAGAAAAATTAGAGAGATTTTTACAGTAAGGGAACAGAGGGTTGGGGTTGCTGTAAGGTCGATAGCCAATCCACTAAAGCTGAATTGACAAGCTCTGGAACTTCATCATGTGGGCAATGCCCTGCTTTCAAATTTACAAGAGTTGTGTTGGGATACACTTCTTTGATTCTGTTGGCCTTAGCAGGACCAACCCATGGATCTAAGTCGCCCCACAGTAACAACAGAGGGCACCTCAGCTCACTCAGTACACTGTTTAGAGTATACTTGCTTTGATTGAACATGAATCTTGTCATCAATCTGCACCACAAGGGACATGAGTTTTTTCAGACAATCGTCGACTGATCCAAGTAGGTTGCTTCGTTCGTATTAAACTACTACGGGTTCCAAAAGCTTAAGTTGATAGATTCTAACAGTTCGTCTTTTCCAAATGAAATGATGGTAGATGATGTATTGATAAACTTTTTGAGTTCTGAATTATGCAGGCCATTCTTTTGAACAAACTACAATGATGTGTGGTGAAGAAAGATGTTGCTAGATAGAAGCACATACCTGTAGTAAACTTCTCCTGCATTTGGGTCGGCTGCTGGCCTCGATATAGACTCGACCAGATAGTCATCCACATTTTCAGAGTTTATGTATACCTGAAAGGATAACAAAGATGAATCAAAGACATTCGGGCACACGTAACGGATAGATACCAGGAAGCCAATCTTAAATGCTTATACTAATATATTGGAGACACAATTAATAGTTTTTGGTATGATGTTAGTTTTACCTTTACAAGTTATTAAGGAATGCTGAACATGACCTGCAATACTCTAACAAACAACAATGCCTCAAAACAAAGAGCTTAGCCAGCCACTTACACTCTTCAACACGGAAACAATTCTAGCTGGTTGCTTAGTTTGCCAGAAAATAACTCCAAGAACGATCCTCTGGAAAAAATCTTTCAGTGGCTTCAGAATGAACTTCTTGAAGCTTGTTTCTTCTGGTTCATCTATCAACTTATTATCATCTCCAAACTGCCCGGCAGAGTTTAGTAATACAACTCCACGGACTTGCTCCGCCAGTCCTGCTGCTGAAACCAAGGCGGTAAATCCTCCAAGGCTACCAAAGAACCATAAGTCAGAATCAATTTGAATGCAACATCCAGAATTAGTTTTAATTAAAACCATCGTCCAGCTCCACCATACTTATTGGCAACTGACATGGACAAACTTTCACCTTTTATAATCATGGATCGTTCTATACCGAAATATGGTCTTATACAATAGGTTAAGACTCGCAAAATGAGGCTTGTCAGTTAGACCAAGAATCATTAGAATTGAGACATGAATTGAAGCAGACTGTACAAGGGAGTGCATGCAACTTGGAACATATATATTTATATCCGAAAAATTGGTAGCACACTTAAAAACATGCAAGTCTTTGAACATTGAAACGACAACTAAAATACCTTATGGTGCCATCTTGAAAAAATTGCACGCATGTATATACATATATACATATTATATACCACAGATGCGAATCTTTTCATTGAATAAATGGAAATAGACTAATGTTCAAGAATACAAACTCCATAAAGGAGTGAAAAAGGAACAACGCAGAACCAATTGAACAAAGAGAATGAAACTAAACCCAAAGAAGATCTTCCTAAAAGTTGTTTATAGATAACAAAGAAGTAGAAGGTTATTTTCCTATGACATCTTTCAAATTTGAAGTAGCCGCCTATACTTTCAAATCTTAAAAGACGTGCAGACAATGAATTCAATGAAAGGACGAAAATGCTTAGTTTGATCAAAGAAAAAAATGCGAATGTGGACAAGCAACTATCAGATTGCAATTCGATATCAAAGGACAATTGAAATGCTAAATAGTTATAAATAGAAATCAAATTGTGGTGATAATAATTTAGAGTACGCAGCATTTTATAAAGCAAAGTCTAAACAGAAACATTTAAATCATCGCATAAGTCCATTTACATAAGTCCATTTACACTCAATACATTTTCATAGGACATTTATACAGTATACTTCGTCGAGATTATTACCTGTTCCCGACTAACACTGCGGGCTGTTTCACTATTTCCTTCATAAAATCGACAACTTGGTCCCTCCATACCATGGCATCATACTCAATTAATGCTTTATCACTCCACCCGAATCCCAGCAAGTCTAAAGCATAAACCTTGTACTTTTTAGCCAGCTCTGGTATGTTATACCTTCAATTAGAAGGAAAAAAATGGCTATGGAATCACTCAATTGATACAGAAAATAAAGATACGGACGAATCGCCACAAGACTCAGAAGTTTTAAGTTCTTTGATCCAATTTGTTTTTTAACACAGACCTAACTAACATATGAACCAGATATTAATCGTAATTGAGAGTCCCAATACATTGATTATTAGTATGAAATAGTAACAAAAAGATACAGAACTCAAACTTAAGATCTAATACCAAAAACTTAGCTATTACATTAAAGAGCCTAAATTTGTTTCCAACTCACTCATTGAAGCATAACGATTCAAGAGAAAATTGCAAACAGAAAAAGGCAAATAAAACAAACCTCCAATGAAATACAGAAGCACCAAACCCATGAATGAGAACTATTGGAGGACCTTCTCCTTGTACAACATAATGTATCTTGTGACCCCGCCATGTCCAGAAGTTATAACCTTCTGGTTTGAAAGGTAATCTTTCAATACCTTTCAAAGAACAGTAAAGAAAAACTTAGCCGAGCTGCAATTAATAAGCCAACACATAGAAGGCCAGTTTTAAATCACTAACTAGCACAACCCACAAAAGAGATCAAGACTCTGACCTTGAGCAGGTTGAATCACCGCAGAAGAGCCCGTAACTGAAACTCCAGAAGCCACAATTCCCCTAAAAGCAAAGCTTCGCCTATTCATTACACATTCGCTTCCTCCAAGTACAAAGCCAGATTCAAACAATTCAGCATTTAGTGTTCTCAATCCTCAAATAGAAACACAGAGAAAAATGGAAAAAGGAAAAAAGTAAGCAATGAATCTTACTATGTTGAAATGCTCTCCTCAGAGGGACAAAAGTCCAATAAGCGGGAGGGTTATAAATCTCCGTCTTGAGCGACGGCGAAATGCCGCCGGCAAAGGAAATCATCGAGAAGGGAGAAAATTCTACTACAACGTTCCAGATACTAGAGGATTGAGACTGTTAAGTAAACCGTATAGCTCTTGTAAACGGAACAAAAAGGGGAAGATCCCGGCAAGTGGGGCTCGCCATTTGAGGGCTTAGAACCTGTAATATCAGTGGCTGGTGTGCAGTTGGGAGTTGTGGCGAACTTGTAGCCAATGCTGGTTCAGATTTATAGCTTTCAAGACTTCTGGTGGAAATGAATTGATTTTCTTGTTGAAAGGGACCGCAAGAAAACGATGCTCCCCCTGCAAGTGCGAGTGATTATTGAACCAGTTCTTTACACCATTCCATGTAGCGGAAAATCCGAGGGGAATTGGTAAAGACAAGGGACAGTGAGACATGGCCGATTGTAGAAAGGTCCCGATGTACTTCAATTTGGATGTTTAAGAAAAAATCATCTGCTATTTGCAATTAAATAAATCTGTGTTTCATAAATTTTAAATTTAAATATGTGGTAAATTATTACTAAATTCTTACAAATATAACTAGAATAACTAAAATAATAATAATTAATTTAAACATTATTAATTTAAATCAAAATTATTATTACTTTAAATAATTTGATAAAATATCAAGAAAAGCAATTTCTATAAAAGGAATTATTTCAAGAAAGATCTACTTTCAAATTAAATACAAAAAAAATAAGAACATTATATTAGATTAATTATGTTTTTAAGAAAACACTGCAAATTAATTTCTGAAGTAATGTATTTTTTTTTTTTTGTTGAATGTTTTTCAAAAAAAAAAAAAAAACAGGAATGCAAGTAAAAAGTTAAAATAATTAATTACACAAGATTAATAATTATTATAATTAAAAAGTTCCGTCGATATTAATCTCATAAAATAAAAATGTGAATTTTAAGAGTCAAAATGCTTATTAAATAGCTAAATTTATATTTAAAAAATTATTAAAGTAGTGAGAATCACAATTATACTGATGGCTTTATTTGAAAACCAAATGATTGATGGAGAAATTTACAAGTTACAATAAAAGAAAAATCAAATGAATATCATAAACAGTTCAACAAATTAGAAACTTTTCTTGTGACAGAGAATAAAGCTCAGCTAAACAGGAAGTTTTTTTTTTTTNTTTTTTTTTTTTTTTTTTTTTTTTTTTTTTTTTTTTTTTTTTTAATTGCATTCATCAGCAATCGACTTTATGTTTCTCTAGTTCCTGTAAAATGTCCCTTTTCTAAGCTCTCTCAAGTTGATTATAGTTTGTAACTGTAGCACAAACTCAAGCTACATGAACTCAATCTCACACACACACAAACCAGCAAAAGACCCAAATTTCTATAATTCAATCAGCCACCCAACAAGCTTCTCAGTTCTATGACATACAAACTTGAACCTTATACCAATTATGAGACCCACATGAGACATCTTATTGAATAAACGTAATCTTCATTCTTCAGAAAATGCTTTCACAAAATACTTTTATTGTTTTAGTTACATTGTTCAATAGGATAAAGCTAATGAACGTTGACAATGTAGTTTTGAGAAGCACAATATCTTACAAAACGAATCCCATTATTCAAAGCTTTCCAGAACTTGAATAGGTGATAATGGAGGGATTCAAATATTTGGGCAGCTCTTGTCCATGTTTCAAGCAATTCTGAGTTGCTGTGTCGCTGTCCAAGATTGATCAGGCTCTAACTGGACCTTCCCAATCTGTATGGCTCCCCAGAAAGGGGAGAGAGGATAAAAAAAAGTAAGAAATAAAAAGAGTTCTAAATGTTACTTTGGAATTAAAGAAATAGTGAACGGCTGGAAGTTGAAAAGGTTTGTACTGTTTCAATGTTCGTCAAGGTTCGATTCTCATTGAAATCAGTAGGTTTGGAAGATTTGTATGTTGTTATTATTATTCAGATTTAGTGGGTGAATTTTAGAGTATATATCAAATTTATAAGCAATACTAAAAAAATAAAATAAGTTTATATATCAAGACTTTTCCCAAAATATCAAGGTACCTTAGCATTCTCAACACAAACGAAATCCCTATAGCATGCTTCCATCTGCAAATGTGGGTTCCATAGCACTGCATCTGACCAACTGCATTGCAATTGGAGAAATGGAACCATAAGTTAAATTCAAACAGAGAAAAATAATGGTTCGCAGCTAAATATATACCAAACGGAGCATCAAATAGATCCAACTCACTTTGTATTGCTGATAATTATGTTGTCACCCAAGCCATTATCCAGACTCAATTCTCCAGGTGCATCAAGATAAACACAATCAACAAATCCAGGAAAACTGACCACGTCCCTGCATGGTCGGTAAGAAAATCATATGAAACATTTCCTATTTCATAATTTCAAGTATCCAAACCAGTTTGAAGAACTTTACTAAAGAAATATGAGATAAACCTTCCACTCGAGTCAAGTATTCTAGGAAGAGAACGTGAGGGAAATGCTCGAGTGAAGAGAGGGAGTTGGTATGTGTCAGGAGAGTATATTTTGTAATACGAAAGTTGGGGGGCCTCGAGTCATTCTTTTAAGCAGAGTATGTATGTATGTATGTATATAGGAAGTGAAGACACTGGCAATAGGCTTGTAAGTAGTATTTTCGGAAAGCCTCAGACCTCTCGATCAACTGAAACCTATGTACTTTTTTTTCTTCTTTTAATCGATGAAGTACTAGATAATCTCTCCCTCAGCTGTTCTATCAAAACATTTGGTTTAAAGAACTCAGGTAGGACATTCATAATTGATTATTTTCACGTCTTGAAAAATCAAGTTCTGAGTGAAGATAGAGCATCATTTAGTTTTTAAGGCATAAATGAAGGGTTTGTTTAGAATGACTTTCTAAGTGCTTAAAAAGTGCAAAACTATTGTTTTTAAGCAACATTATTCCAAACACAATACTCTTAAGAAGACCTCAGTTATTACTCATGAAAGCAAAAGAAGACCAATTGATTGTCATCAAGTAACAAGAAACAGCTTCATCCTACTGCATGTGTACATTGTGGAATCTTGCTGATAAACGACCAAAAGAATTGATATCAAATTCAACACAGTATGTATGTAGAAGAAACATTTTAAAATAATATATTACTAACCTTTCTTCCACACCCTCTAATGGGTTGGCGGGGTCTGGATCTTTGTTCAATGTTTTACAACCCTTCAATCCCTCAACTTTTACTCCGGTTATAGAAGCCTGCGTGACAATGGAAAGATTGTTATTCAGTATGCAAGAGTACGGTTAATCAATGGTAAGATATATATAGAGAATATATATTCCCACATCTTTTATTAATTTCAAACAATTGATTAAATTCTTTGCCAGTGTTTCTCTTCTCCCTCTCTTTTTCTTTTTTCAATTTCCACATCAATCTTACTATGCAGTATGCACATGATTTTCAGTTGATCATGGGTGGGTAGTGATCACCAACAAAATTCTGGTACCAATTAACATGCAATTGAACGATACAGAAAGGCCACCCGTTAAAACACTAAAATGAGTTGGTGTACTTGCATGGAAGTAAGTATGCAACGCCGTAGTAAATGAAAATGGCTTGTTGTCGGTATTCTTAATTATTAGCTCAGTGGAAAGGCTCTTATCACCCAAAATAATCTGCAAACAATTGAAAATAACTGTTAAAACAACTGCGATCATAAAGAATCAGAACTAGATTTTGTAATATAGAGGTTAGCAGAACGAAAAAGTAAAATCCAAGCACAGATGTTATTGATCAGCGTGAGCAACAGCTAACCTTGTAAAGAGCATGAAAACTGAAATCCCACATGGAACGACTATATGAATCATCCTTTAGTTCAAGAGTTACACCTGGATTGTCTTCAACACTTCTGGAATCAAGGATGGACCAATCCACATTCCTTGCAAATCCATGCTGTAAATATCAATAGTTATAATCACGAGCAAGTCACATCAACTTTTTTAGCACAACAAATGTGGGGGAAATGGAGATTTGAACCTCCAACCAGGGGTAGGAGTAGATGCCAATTATTGTTGGGCTATGCTCGTTTTGTGCATTTATCATATTCATTAAGTCTCATACTAACAATATGGTGAAAGCACAAAATAAGATTAGAGAAAGGGGAAATAGAAGAAGTTATGAAGGAAGATTCACATTTAATAACAACTAACATCCAGGCTGTGCATCATAAGCTCAAGGGTTTGATAGAATGAACATAATGACATATTTTTTTGAAAAAAAAGATGCATTTATGAGCTTAATCAGAGATGACTAACCATTTTTCTCACTGAGAACTATAGTTGTCAATAGCTCTCCTTAGTAAAAGGATTAATTCAATATGACCAAGGAAAACTAAAAAGCACTGCTTGCAGAAATAAAGTGATACCTGTTGTATAGGACCAGGTCCAAATTGTGGGAAACAATGTGGAATGCCTCCACTGTCACAAAGAAGAACACTGTCAGTACTTTCAAACACATCTTTTGCAGGTAATTTAGGCCTTTTCCTATTGATAAAACAGTAATCTGGATCTTAAAAAATGCTACATCAGATTCAAACTCTCGTCAATCTTTTGATCCAATCACGAGGGACTCGGCAATTTTTCATTATCGCTGCATTTTTCTCTCACCATTAATATAGTATGCAATCTACAAAGCAAACATGGTTTTATCTTCTTGGAATTGGCAAATTCAAAAGGAAGGGATGAATTCAACTATTAGACACAAAAATTGGAACATATGGATTCACCTAGTTTCTTGGAATTGAAGATTATGCTACTGTTACGTTTAGAATAAGGAGCAAAAGAAGAAATGAAAATCAGGGCGGAAGAAACCTGATTGGTTTTTTCTTGTTAAAAACAGCATCTGGTCGAACAAATAGGACATCCTTGCCATTTGCGAGTCTCCAAGATGTAATGCATCCTCCATACAAGTATACATCAGCCTCACTGAAAATCGATAAAATATCATGTGCACTTCACAACTTCATTCCGAAGCACCACAATGCAATGTGAAATTTAAATTGCAAAACGTCAAACAATAAGAAAAATCATAATCAAAATCCGTTCTGATATTAATGAGAAGATCGAAAGTCCTCACCTACCAAGCGGAGAAGTGAGCACAACCTTTGGTAAATTTCCTTCGCCTTCAGTGACTTTCACCCCCAAAGTAGCAGAATTTCCTCCCAGACTTGCAACAGCAACGCCCCTGTATCTGTGCCTAAAACGCTCGCAGTTTTGGAAGAGATTTCTCGAATGAATTCAATTGAAATTTCTAAGCAAAAACTCCACGCTGAAAAGGGAACTCACCGATTTACTCGACGAACGGATGGCGGATGTGGGGTGGGGAGGGCGATTTTCATGGAAGATATCGACATTGTTCCCTGTCTCGAAGAAGATCGAAATTGCTTGATTCAATGCTCCGCACAGAGCTAAAATCACCTCAAATCCATTTACTTTCAGTCGCTGTGGTCGATATTCATTGACAATGCTGCTGGGAAATACGGATATTCTCTTCTTCCTCTTCTTCTTCTTTTTTTTTTTTTTTTTTTTTTTTTTTTTTTTTTTTTTTTTTTTTTTTTTTTTTTTTTTTTTTTTTTTTGTTTCTAAAAATTTAAACAAAATTATTATTATTATTTTTTAGAACAAGTGCTCAAACTACCCTTACAAATCTACTATTATTGTTGTTATATTTTTTTTATCCTCAAATTAGATATTATTAATTACGTGGAAAAGAATTGTGCAATAGCGTGGAGATAAATCACTCGTCAAAATAAAAAATTAAGTTAAAAAATCTATTATTTCTTAATTGGGTTCTCATTTTTCAGAAAGCAGGGTTTAGTGGTTCGGCAGCGCACTTCGAAAGCTCTAGGTCGGCGTCTTCCCTCTCCTTCAGCTCAGCATTTGCGATCGACCCAACTGAAGCTTTTGCTTATTGGACCGCCGTGCATTTTCGCCCATGAGGTTTTTCTCTCTAATTCTTACCGTTTTTTATTTTAAGGTTTTGAGCTTCATTTCATTTCGTGTGAACTAAGCGAATTTTATCAATTGAGGTTCTGCTGGAATTTACTATTGTTTCGTCATGCATCGCATAAGTTTGCTCTTTTGTACTCTAAAAATTAGTTAACCTTCACTGCGGCATTTCCTTTGATTGGTTGAATGGGTTAAGCTCTCTTAATTTCACTCTATAGCTCACATGTTGAACCCTGAAAGTGGAATGAATTTTCTAGAAAAATTTGATTGCGGGTTGAAAGTTTTGTCCAAATGGGCTGCGAAGGGAGGATGAAAACGAATTTATTCTACTTGTCTCTCTATGCATTTTCTCTTTCTTCTGTTCTCCTCGAATAATTTTGTTGACTGAGAAAGAGGATCAATTACTGACTATTGGAAAAAGAGGCTTGGGTTATGGGCCAGTGAGGACAACTTCATCATATAACATTTCTAATTATATAATTTCTAACCGAAAGGGGTGGATTGTGAGATCCTACAACCGAAACATTCCTTCTAAGGAGGTGGAAATCTCTCCCTTTTAAAACTTTGAGGGGAAGCTCAGACACCGAATGGCATGCCAGTGAGGACAACTTCATTATATAACATTTCTAACCACTGCTCAAGGATAGAACACCCTGGAAATTTCAAGAGAGACTTTATATTCTCGTTTATCCATGACTAAATAATGGAAGGTAATCTATATAGCATACCAATTCTCTTCATCTTGTTGATTGGTGCAATTTATGGCTGATGCTCGGATTCTTAGAGTGATATTTTCTAATTTATTATAATCAATTTTTTTCAGTTTCTGTTTCTTAATCTTATTTAAAGTGTATCCAATACTGTGGTTTTAAAAACCATTCAGCTGCTGATTCTGTGGCTCGGAGAATACAAACATATTGGTGATACTGTACGATGATGATTTTGTCGGGATTGAGTGGCAAACCCTCAAAATGTTGTCCTCTGAGACCTAGTACTAGGATTCAACGTGAGCAGGTTTCATCTTTTCCCAATGGGAGCTTTAGAGAAATTATTGATTTGCAGTATCTCAAAAGGTTCTGCTCACTAATACACGCTATTGTTCTCATGTGGTGTTTCCAGTTCACACTCAATTAACTTGTTTAATGCAGAAATTACTGGACGGGTCCTGCTCTTAGATGCAAAACTCTCCAAATTCGACACACTACTAAGTGTGCATTTGATGCTTCCTCCAGAGATCTTGCAAATGATTCTGCTGGTATTGTTCTTATTCCCTTGTTGAAATGATATTAGACAATAAAATTATGTGGCTTGAAAGGGAAAGTTAGAAGTTTGGGGACAGTTTAGACTAATATTACAACCCTCAAGGTTTAAATATTCAGATTTGAAATTTTATGATCAAAACACTCTTAGAAGGTACAAGTTCATGGCCAAAACTTTGATTTTCTCTGCTAGTGCAGCTGAATTCCCTCGAATTCATGCAAGGGATCCATACAAACGGCTCGGCATAAGAAAGGAAGCATCAGAAGATGAAATTCAATCTGCCAGAAACTTCCTTATTAATAGGTACGCAGGGCACAAAGACAGTGTTGATGCCATTGAAGCAGCTCATGATAACATTATTATGCAAAAAATTTAGCACAGAAATAACCCGAAAATTGACCTCAAGAAAAAGGTCAGGGAAGTCAATCAGTCACGGGTTGTGCAGGCTATAAGGAGCAGGTTTCAAACACCATCTACAAAATTCATAATCACGGCATTAATTGCATTCTTAGTTCTTGGCGTTCTTACCATTCTCTTCCCAACTGAGGAAGGCCCAACCCTTCAGGTTGCTGTATCACTCAGCCACTTTCTATTTCATACACGATCGACTGAAGAGCAAACTCCGAGCATTCCTTTATGGGTACATCCAGAATATTCATATCGTTTCCTTTTTGAACTTTATGATTGAACATAATATATCTTTTTTTGTTGATTGATTGGCTACTCTCCTTTCCTACAACCATATAGAACAGAATTCAATGGTTTCTGATAAGATAACTGAGTTTAATTAATGGGAGTTTTTTTTCAATGGTACAGGGCTGGAGCTTTCATAGTCTCATGGCTGTTGGGAACCTTTTTGGTGGTATCTGTGATCCCCCCGGTTATAAAAGGATTGAGAGGCTTTGAAGTAACCACTTCACTAATAACCTATATCTTACTCTGGGTTTCATCTACGTATTTAAAGTAGCAGAGAAAAGATTTTTTCTATTGAGGTTCGAATTTTTCTGGGGCCGAAAGCGCGAAGCGTATTAAGCTTCTTTCTTTTCTTTTTTTTTTTTAGCCTGAGCCATAAGGTGTGGACTTTAGCGAGGTGAGGCACCATGTCGTATGAAAAATAGTTTTCATTCAGTCTATGGAACTTTTTAAGTTCAATCTCAAATCATAGTTTCGTCTACAGTTCCCATATTATTTAGTTGACAATATAATTTTTGTACTTTTAAAATTATAATGAACAGATATGTGAATAAATATATAATTGTACTTTTTATTCACTTGTATTGCCTAATTTAATCAAAATTGTTATATTGAAAACATTAGTAGAAATAATAATCAAATGAAAAAGTTAGTTATCTAATAAGTGAAAAAGAGACATCCGCTAAAAAATTTGGCAAAATTATTAATAAAATAATTTAACAACTAAATCTGACCACGATTTTTATGCAAGAGATTAAAAACTAATATAATACAACAAAAAATATATTTTTTTTCTTGGATAACTTATAACTATGACAATAATCTATGTGAAGTTTAATTTATAAATATTAATGATTTATAGAACGATTCTATTCAAAGAAACAACATAGAGTTAACTTTATAATTGTTTATAAAGTTATGACTTTTGTCAAGAAAAGGGACATTTCATTCCATCCATTATTGAATTATGGTAGGATAATTACATAAATGGCCACACAGTTTGAGCTCTCTGGTTGCATCAATAAGATGATATGTCCTCAAAGGAGCGTATAAACATCTGCTTTAAGGATATACATAAAGAATAGGATGGAATACTGAGAGTGATTTAGCAGTCAAAGCTAAGCATCAAACATATTTCCTATTAATAGAGGCTTGGCACTCCGACAGCCAAAGATCCATCTTTTTCACTAACTGCTGCCTAACTTTGTAAACTGTAGCAGGGGAGGTACAGCTGTGATCATCACCTGAAGAGACACACAGAGAGATCAAATTCATAGGATGCAATGTCTTTAAATGGCAAGGAGGAACGAGTGGATTGCACATAGGTTTGGTGGGGGAAACCCGTCGCCCTTGATGGGTTCGAAATTTGGAATTTAAGGGTACTCAATTACCAAAATGGCTTTGGCATTTTCCTTTGGTGTGGGACCATAGCGAGGAAGTACAGTCCCCAGCCTTCTAAGTGGCTGGCTGTCGGGTGGAGTCAAAGGCTCTTACAAGAATCCTTGGGAAAAAAATAGCCATTGAGAGCTTCCTTCCTTTTCTGATTTAGTTCTCTCTGTTGTGGGCTATGAGAAGGAAATGTAAGTGCTTGCTGTGGAGTCTTTGATAGAAGAGGTACAATCGAACCTCTATGGGAGTCAAGAGGGGGTCTTCTAACCTGTGTTCCCCTATTAGGTTCTATGTTTCTCTTTGTGCATCCCGTACTTACTCTTAAGATCTCATTTTACTTTATTAAGTTCCTTTGTGTGGTGGGACGTCTTTTTTTTTTTTTTTTTTTTCTCCATAAAAGTCGACTTTTGAC